TTCCTTCCTTCCTTCCTTCCTTCCTTCCTTCCTTCCTTCCTTCCTTCCTTCCTTCCTTCATTCTTACCTGTGCACTTTTGATAGCCAACTTCTTTTCTACGTCGGAAGAACTTGATCCCAGCCATACATAAACCTGGTGATGACATAAATCAAACCTAGGTTACTGTCCTCCATATATCCATTTATACTGATTGATGCTTTCACGGTCTTAGACTCCCAGCAGCCTGTAGTTTTATTGTTTTTCTGATTACGTATCACGAACAATTTTCATAAACTATGCCTTACCAGTTTTCCAGTGTCTAGTATCATTACGTCCTCACTGGCCAAATCCTCCTAGACGAAAAAAAATCAAGAATAATAATGAATAATAATTCTAATAATACACTAGAGATAGTGCCCTGACAAAGATCTAACCAGAGGTTGTTTCTGTGTTTGATAACTGAGTTAGTCATGCCCTAACTTCGATAAGCCCAGAGGTTGTTTCAGGGTTTGATCTGTGAGTTAGCCATGCCCTGACTTAGATCACCCCAGAGGTTGTTTCAGGGTTGGATAAACCTTACTTTGAGAGTAACACTGATATCTTACCTGACAGAAGTCCGTACACTTCTCTGACACAGAGAAGTATCCTTTATCATTAGAACACCGGAACAGACGACAGTACTGCATGAATTCGGCCTCCTATCAACACCAAGAATAACATAAATCGTATGTCTTTTTTCTCGTTTGTTAAATCTCCCCGTAATCTTTTGCTACATTGCACATTTCGCTTCGTTTGAGAGTAAATCATTTTAAAACAGCTAAATTTAGAGGATAATGTTAATAATGATAATAACTTTATTACAGTGTCAACTAATTGGAGGACAAAACAATGGACAATCTCAATGAGAATTGAAATTGGAAACCTATTGTTATGTCCTCCAAATTGGGGTGCATTCCGACGTGCTGCAAAGGGATCATAGATGTTCTGGGAAAATGATATAGTGAAGTCATTTAACCCGTGAAATGAAGAAATAGAAAAACGCGCGCGCGTGCTGTGTGCTGTCATAAAGCACGCGGGGGTTGGCAGAACACGAGAGAAGTGTTAGGAGGAGCACGACGCGTAGCGGAGTGCTTTTGGACACTTCTCGAGTGTTCTGCCAATCCCCAAGTGCTTTGTGACTGCATACAGCACAGCAAGCAAGTTTTTTATTTCTTTTATAAAATACAAATTTCAATAATAGATAGGAATGACGCAACGGAAAGTGCGCGCGCGTGCAATGTGCTCTCATAAAGCACGCGCTCCAAACCAATCAGAACGTGACATTCATAACAGTTATTTTATAATAGATATTAGACTCAGGTCAAACGTCGAACTTCACGAGCCGAAACATATCACATCAAAGAAGACCGCCTTGTTATCCATTGTTTCAATTTGGTTCGACTCATGTGAAGTTCGACGTTTGACCTGAGCCTTACACACATTAGTAGACCGTAATGACATTGTGTCTTTTGTGTCTATTTGGCTGTGTTTTCACTAGGAAAATTTAAACTAGCTTAAATACGACACCAGAAACAAGGCAAAGTTAAACTACCTAGCAAGATGGCTTAAGTTGTCCTACCAAATAAATGGGACAATCACAGTGTTATTCTTGAAAGGTGGGCGTCGGATTAAAACACCTCCAGGAATTTTACGCAAG